ACAGTTTCCACAGACTCCCTATCTGTCCACTCAGTAAGACCATGTTTTCCTTTAATTCTTTGAACATGATCATAAAAGCCTCTTTGAAACCTTTCTTAAATCCAACATCTGGGCCCACTTGGAGTCATTTTCTGTTAACTGACTGCCCCCCCCCCCGCCCCCGAACATGGGTCACACTTTCCTGTTGTTTGCTCATGAACAATTCTGGATTCTATTGTGTTGAGGATTGCTGGGTTTCTTGTTTTGGGATTATTTACTTTGGTTATTTACTTTGATAGGCAGTTCACTTTCCTAGACTCGGCTGAAAATTTCTCTTCTGTATTATGCAGCAGCTGATATCTCTGTTCACTTTCTAGGATTTCTGTATGTTGCTTTAGGTGATTCTCTTGGGTCTCCCCTACGCATGTATGATTTGGCAGTCAGACAAGTGTTTGGGAAGAGATTATGTTCAGTTTTGGGGGCACAGTCTCTGTGGTTCCCTTATACCCAGGGATTTCCCCTTAATTTCCAGCTGCTCTGTCAGCTTTAAGCTTTATCTCCTGGCACCTGAAACAAATAAGGCTTCAGCTTTCTGCTACCTGAGCTGTGTACATTTGGGGAATAAACCCATTTCTTAAAAAAAAAAAAAAAAAAAAACCTCAGAATTTCTCCATCAGAGCTCTATCTTTCAATCCTCTTTGGTCTCTGCCTGCTTTTTTGCCAGGCTTCCTGGGGTTGTCCAATGCATGCAAAGTTTAGCAAACAGTCAGGTACTTAGAGTTTATTTTCAGATTTTAGGTTTCAATCCTTCTGCAGTTCATTTCCAGATTTCCCCCTTAAATGTCTTTTTAAACTGTGCTCTCTTTGATCTCTGGCCTGTAGAGGCTTCTTTTCCTCTCATTCTTCCCCACTGTTGTTACCATGAGAGGTTGGGGAAAGCCTTAAATCACGCAAGTGTGTACATTTGCTAGTTGCAGCTTTTCAAGAATAATTGGTGCTGCTGGCTTATGCTTTCTTTTAGATGTTTTCCAGTGCCTACAAATAGTTGTTTTTTTTTACATTTTGTCCAGATAATATAATTATTATCTGTGGGAGGGCTCTCAAGACTTCTTCAGTTCACTACCATTACTGGAAATTCTTGCATTTTTATAGCTTTTCTGCAGTATTTGTTATGGCTGTGGTGTTTAAAGCAGTAAGAGGGGAAACAGTGTAAGGCTAATATTTGCTAATTTAATTCTGAATAGAACTTGATGGGCTTTCCCCTGTTGATCTGCCCTTTTCAGTTTTTTTCCACTCAGCTACTATTAATATTCTAAATAGTTTCGAAAGGATAAAAAGGGCCACACTTAATTATCTTAATAAAATTTGTGACTTTTCCTTCAAAAAACTCTGAAAATTTTGCTTTTATTTCCTAGCAGTGAATCATACATCATGTTACAATTTATATTTTAAGCTTTCATTTTTATATTTTCAACTACTGGTTAGTTTAATAAAGCTATTATATAAATTATAATTATGGAAGAACTATACTAGTTATACTATAAATTTACACTGCTTATACTACAAATTTATGCTGTTTATTCCATTTCTTATGGGGGAAAATGAGAGCTTGGGCTGATTAAAAAGATCAAATTTTATTAACATATTAATATCGCTTATTTGAAATTTTGTATTGTAAGAATTATCAGCATATATGAAATCACTACACATAAAATAACTTTTGAGAGGAAAGGAACTGGATTATGAAATGTACTTTCTGACTTAGCAAGTAGTATGAGTAATTGAAGTCTGCAGACCATCTCTAAATCTCATTTTAGTTATGAATTTAATCTTTTTCACCCATACTTTTTAGTTTTGCTGCAACTGTAAAAGAATAGTTGAGGGTCATTGCCTTTCTTGTGCTTAGCCTCAAATGGGATGTGTGAATTATGAGATAGCATACAGTCAGGAGCAGCTGGCTTAATTTGTTGGTTTCTGGAATAATTTGGATAATATTCCATACATTTGTTAACAAAAATAGTAAATTAAATTTTCTATTTGACCATGTACTTTCCACTTTGTAATCTGTTCTTAGCATCTTATCAGAGTATACATGTAACCATTCCACAATCAAAACGCGATCCCCATTTAAGATAAAAACAAATCTTTATGTCCCAAATCTTAGAGTTATATATTTCTTGATTGTATATTTTGTCATCCTGTGCATTACAATTCACCTATTTGAATGGAATAGGTTTTATTTAGTGAATATTTTCTTAATAGGTATTTCAAAGTTATATCAGTTTTTTAGGTAGTATATTGAGAAGGTCCTTGAACTGAGGTTCAGAAATCCTGGTTCTTTCCTGCCTCTGTCATCATTTACTAATGGCAGTTCCTTCATTATATATAATCTCATATTGGAAAAATTAATTTCTAGAAATAAAAACATGAATTCAAAGATTTTGTGTTTTTTTTAAAACAAAAGGAAGCCATTATATGTTTGTGAATTAGTTGAACTCTTTGCAACTGCTTTGTTTCTGTAACAGTAAGCCACACCTTTGATAGTAGCTAGCTTCAATTATTCTGCACCAATGCCCAGTTTAAGTCAGCAATGTTAACAAAACTGCTTATAAGAAGTCATTTATTACCTTGAAATTTATTTTAGATGCTTGGGTAATGGTGCGAAGGTAAAAATTGCATTTAAAATTTGCCTCAACTATCATGTGACTCTGGGGCAGATTACTACTTCATTAGTAAAGTCTTACAGGTTTGGCATAGACTTTGGGTTTGTGGTTTTTAAAATGTATTAATATTTTTGAGATAGTGGTATATTCTATATGTGAAATGCTATATAGTTAATAACAGATCAATGACCCAGAAACTTGAAACATAATTAGAATAGAAAATCAAATGCATGTCTAAATGGATTTGTTACTTTTTTTTTTTTGATTTGTTACTTTCATAGCTCTTTTTATGTCTGTCAAAACTGTGGGTTTTTGTATAACTTTAGGTATGTTTGCCTGAATTAATAATATAAAAAAATAAAAGGATAAAATATGAAGGACTCAATATTCTACCAGCTCTTTAAGATTAAAAAATTGCCTTGTATCCTATTGACTCAAATATTTGAGTGATTGCATTCTGAAATAACTCAGTGAAATAATTCTCTTTAGTGGTGCTTTTGTTACACCACATAGAATTTTGCCATTTCTTAATGCACATTGCTTTCAATGTGAAATTGCTGCCTTGGAAACCTTAACTCAGTAAGGCTAACAGTAACATTTTATTTGTCTCCCAAAATTCCGCCATATGATAAGTAAAATAGGGATGGGGAGAGTATTTTGAAAGAATGCCCTAAGTACAGCCTTCAGCCTACCAGTTATATCCATTAAGTAAAAACCTGGTAGCTTTCTTTTATGAACACTTGGCTGTTGACTTTCTTTAACCTAGCTGGCCATAGTGAAGAGTAATACTATGAGTAAAAGATATATGAGTATTTATATATATATATATATGCTTTGAGGGAGAAAAAGATTTTTTTACCCTTCTTTGTCCTGGGGGTTTATCATGAATAGAATTTTGTTTTACTTAACACAATTGAGATTGAATATTTTTCTAAAAAGTGCAGATTGTGCCTCTTGTTGAAAGTATGGTGAGTTCTTAATATAAGAAATTAGAATAATAAAACTGAACATTAAATAGACATCACAATATGGCATTTACTATATCTGGAATACCTGAGCATTTAAGATATTTTATTAAATTATTTTTATAATGATTTAGGTTTTGAAAAAATATGTTTACTTTTCACAAGTCATCAGTATGTGTATGTGTTATAACTGATTTCATCAGGTGAAATGAAAAGGAATGTGTTGTTGATCTTTAAGGACTATCTCTCAAGAACATAAAATACTTAAAGTAATAATGAATAATTACACTCATTGAATAGTAAACCTTTACTAATTACTTTGAATATTTTGTGATTTTACTTCTCACATCTTTTCTGTTATGGTAGAGAGTAAGTGTTTTTAAATGTTGTGTGAAAACTACTGATACGTGTTCTTAACTTTTTCTTTTTGGTATCCAGAAATAGGTTTAGAAGTTTACTGGATTCTTGTCATTTATTGTAACTCATACCTCAGTTAATTGCTTGCTTGAATTATAACCACCTGTTGTATTGATAATTGGTACTTCTTCATGACTCAATCCTTACTAAGTACAGAGTTTCTGTCTAGCATATATAGTATATTTGCCACTCATAGAAAATGTACTTAGTTTCACTAATATGTACATATCCAGTTTTATTCAAAATCTTAACATGTGAATACTAACAAAGTGCTTCATGATAACTAATGTTACTTCTGCAGTAGAACTACAAAGAAACAACTTAGATTTATCCTGCACATTACCATTTATAAGTGCTTTGATTTTTAATAAGAGCCCCATTAAGTAGGCAGGGCAGGCTTTTTACAAGCCTTGACAGTTGAGAAAAGTGAGACTCAGAAGCCAAGTAATTTGCCCCAGAGTCACATGGAAGTTGAGGCAAAATTGGGGCCTAGGTTTTGTGTCTGCAAGTTCCTCTTCACTGTATTGCATCTTTCTCTGTGTCTTGATCTTCCTAATCATCCTGTTGCTACAATAGTAGTGTTGGATCCAGAAACCTAAGACCAAATTCCGTACTTAAGGAGACATCTTATCTATGTGCTTACTGCTGTGCAAATCCTGTGCTGGTTAAGAAGATAATTCATGTCCCTCATTTATCTTCAGTCATATTCAGCTGAGAAACTGCACATTACTGCCTGTCACAAGGCATGACATCTTTTAACACTGGTTTTGCTCTTTTTTTTTAATATGGAAAACTTGGTTGCATGTCGATACAGAAAGCAATACATAAAGAAGACACTTTATGACATGTTTAAAAATTTTATTGTGGCAGAAAGAGTTGAATCAATGTTATTTTCATTCTTAAATAAAATGAGCTTATTATTCTTTTTTGTCCAAAACTGTCCTATGGGTTCAGATTTGTCATTTTGACTTTGCAGCAGTTAGAAGAAAAGAGTGAAGATCAAGAGGACAAGGAGTGTTTGAAACAAGCAATAACAGCTTTGCTTAATGTTCAGAGTGGTATGGAAAAAATATGTTCTAAAAGTCTTGCAAAACGAAGACTGAGGTGAATATTTTTACTATTTTAATAATCCTCCCTTTCACCTTGAGTATTCTGGTATAAATTCAGGGATCCCAGTTCCCTCCTCAAGTAAACAATGAAGAAAATAGTTTTAGTGACAAGCTTGGTCTTTCAGAGGAAGTGACATCAAAGCCAAGAGAATTTGTTATTGTTTGAAAAACCTTTCATATTTGTGCATTTTCCTTGCATACTCCCAGACAAGACCTCCTGAGAGTCAACTGGTAAGCTAAGGGAGAGACAGAGAAAAATGTCTTGAGTAGATTTATGTCAACATCATCGTTCTGTCAAAGTAAAATTCGTAGTGTCCTTTATTTTAGGGATTATATAACTTGAGGTATTAATTCAGATAACATTGCTTCCACTTTCTTAATTATAATATGTGCATGTTTGTTAGCTTTAGGATTTGTCCACTTAAACACTTATAAATAATTTTTTAAGTCTTTTAAATGATTTTTTTCACAATATGGGCTACTTTTTAATATTTGTCATTCTAAATATTTAGTAGTCAAGGTAGAAATAATCATTCCATAGCTAAATTTATAGAGTAGAATTTTGTCATTACTCATTGTTCTTTTTAGAGCACTAAAAAAAGTCTCTACTGTGTTGCTTTAGTTCCTAAAACGGTGCAGTTTTGTAACACTAATATATTTGGAAAATTAATGAAAGCCTTCTCCGTGCAACTTTTTAAAATGTACTTTTATATTGTCCTTTATTTTATGAATTCTAGATCGTCTGTCATCTGTGTACTAATGATGTTTTTTTCCTTTATCCCAGTGAATCTGCATGTCGGTTTTATAGTCAGCAAATGAAGGGGAAACAACTAGCAATCAAGAAAATGAACGAGATTCAAAAGAATATTGATGGTTGGGAGGGAAAAGACATTGGACAATGTTGCAATGAATTTATAATGGAAGGAACTCTTACACGTGTAGGAGCCAAACATGAGAGACACATATTTCTCTTTGATGGCTTAATGATTTGCTGTAAATCAAATCATGGGCAGCCAAGACTTCCTGGTGCTAGCAATGCAGAATATCGTCTTAAAGAAAAGTTTTTCATGAGAAAGGTACAAATTAATGACAAAGATGACACCAGTGAGTACAAGCATGCTTTTGAAATAATTTTAAAAGATGAAAATAGTGTTATATTTTCTGCCAAGTCAGCTGAAGAGAAAAACAATTGGATGGCAGCATTGATATCTTTACAGTACCGGAGTACACTGGAAAGGATGCTTGATGTGACGATGCTACAGGAAGAGAAGGAGGAGCAGATGAGGCTCCCTAGTGCCGATGTTTATAGATTTGCAGAGCCTGACTCTGAAGAGAATATAATATTTGAAGAAAACATGCAGCCCAAGGCTGGAATTCCAATTATCAAAGCAGGAACTGTTATTAAACTTATAGAGAGGCTCACGTACCATATGTATGCAGGTAAGAAATATAAAGTTGCCTGTCACTTTTATTTTCCTGCTTCCAACTGATTTTCTTTGCTGCACAGGTCATTGTGCCTAAAATAGAAAGCAAACTAACAACAAAAGATCTCTGCATTATTCCGAGTTCATTTTCCTTTGCCTAAAAATACTGCCATTTGTACCTTTTCTGCCACATTTAAATATTTTTTTAACTTTACAACCAGAATTACAAATAAGAAAATAAAATCACTTGTCTAAATTTACCCAATTGGTGGCAGAAACAAGATAAATCATCATTAGGGTCTAAAAACCTTTACCTTTTTTTTTTCTTTCTTTCTTCTCTTTCCATTACTGAGATTATAAAGTCAGTAAAAATTTTAGTATATATTCATTACCAGAACTGTGCTGGTAGTATGAATATGCGCATTGCTTTTTCTTAATTTCCATCCCTAAAACTTTCATTAAAGTTTTCAATATTTTTTTTCTGTTTCACAATTGATCACATTTAAGAAAACAGTATTACCTTAGCAGGGCAGTTTTTAAGAACAAATGCGTCCAAACTACCTAGGAAGATTGGTGGAAGCCAAATCAAATGTAATGTTGGAGAGTTTAGGAACAAACATGATTTTTTTTTTTTAAGTAATTCTATTTCTTCTAGTAAAGTAACCCATGATAATCCAATGTTCCTCAACCTTCAACTTCCCTACACGATAGAAAGCGTGGTAATTGTACAATGCTGTAGCCTATGGTATAGTGGAAAGAGCACCAAATCTGGATTTACACCCTCACTCTGTCACAGTTCCCTAATGTCCCAGACCTCAGTTTTCATCCCAAAAATCAACATCCCAACAGCAACCTTAGAATGTTATTGGAAAGAACAGATCAACGACTATATGCAAAAGCTCTTTGTAAATATAAGTGTAAATATAAGTGTAAAATTTCAAAGAATGTTTTTTTACAAAGATCTATAAACTCAAACGTATATCTTATAACATAAATGCTCTTCTGAAGTAGTTGAATGTGAATGTTAACCTCCATCCCTGTACTTCCTGCTTAAATATATTCTTATTTCTAAGAGATGTATATTTCTAAGGGAGGTGGGGTCTTTTGGTTTGTTTTGTTTTTTCATTTTTTAAAGTCCTCTAAATGGGTTCTCAGTTCTCTCTGGAAACTGTTCTGGCACCAGGTAAATTAAACTTTTAAAGATTACCCATTAACTGATCCATTGTAATAAAGATGAATAGCTTTTGATAATATTAATCTGTTCGATTTATTAAATGTCCAGTCAGAACTACGTAAATGGCCTGGAAACTATCAGGGCCTCTTTGCAAAAAAAAGTAAAATCAAGTTAGAATATTTTTATCAGTGATATCAAAACACTTTCATTAATATCATGTTTCATTATCTCCACATGTCTCTGGGATAAATAAGCCAGTTTTGTTTTGGTCTTAATTTTTATTTGGCCTCCAATTGGTAGTTCTTTTGCTAGCTAGCCTTTTCCATAGTAAAATATTAGTGTTTTCCATAGGTTATTAAAAGCAGTTTGGATTCTCTAAACAGATTCCATTTGGTAGTAGCAGGCAGTAGCTGAAACACGTTGAAGATCATGCAAGAAACCTAGTCTGGGATTCCAATTTTACTACTGATTTTTCACCTAGAAACTTCTGCTATCAGTGTTTTCATTTTACTGACTCAAAAATAAAAAAAAAAAAACAAAGCACAGGAAAGTTAAGTAAGCTGCCTAAGATTTTACATGAAAAAGAAACAGATTACTCTGGCATCTTTTTTTATGTTATATAAAACTTTTTGAGAGGTATAATTTTCAGTAATTAATATGACTAACCTATTTTGTGATCTTCATCAGTTTCTGTGTACTCTTTAAGATCAAAATCAACTACAAAAATGTTTCATTAAATTACTCGAAACTTGTGGTTGCAGAATACTTCTTTCTTTGATTTTTAAGAATTTTTAAGGTTGTTACACAAGTTCAAATTGTTCTTGCCACATTATTCTCAGTCTTAGATGATTCACTGATTTCGTTAGCATGAACATCCTAAACTGTTTTTTATTTTAAATAAAATTTGCTTTGAGTTCTTAGACTGTTTTAAATTAATCCTTAGATTTTTATCTACATAAGACAAAAGTTTTACTGTTTTTTTTTTTTTCCTGTAGAGCAATGTTAAGTAGAAAGTGCTAAAGACTTATTATGTCACGGTAGTGGCATTTAAATTGGAAAACATTTTCAGATTCCAAATTTTTTAATATAATTGTTTCTGTAAAACTTGATTGTTGATAAAGTTTTTTTTTAAAAAAAACTGCATTTCACAGAACTAACTTATTAGTAAGCAGTTGCAGAACTACAATTAAATATTTTCTGGAAACTGTGCTTTTTATTTATTTTTTGAATTGAAGACACTTTAAAATAAAACTTGAACAAACATAGCTGAGAGTTTTTCTGTAGTCTTATTTTTTCTCCTTAATGTACACAATGCTAGCCAAGTCTGTAGACATAGTACTTTTGCTGTAGTGTCTTGTGAGTTACTTTTGATTGTGGCTCTTCTTTATATTAACCTTTAGCTTTTGAATAGAGTAGTATTTTCATTGGTTTTACTTCTAGTTAGTATAAAACACTGAAATTTCTACAGGACTTTGTAAGCCTGAGTGTATTCACATTTAAACTGACAAGATTATTTTACTTTTTTAAAAAGTTAAAGTTTTTCAAAAATTCCTTTTATTAATTTCTCGAAGAATAAAATCCCAGTGTTAATTATAGAAGTGTTGTGGCCAAGGTTTTTTGACATTTTTCTTTTCTGTCTTCTTTTAAAGCTTAATTGAATATTTTAACATATGTCACTAAGGTATATTACTGGTGTAACGAATACACAAGCAGCTTTCTTGAGTTATGGTTTACAATACGTACAAATAGTATTAATTACTAGCTTATTTGGACTCTTCTGTATGAATATGTTAACTGAATATGTTACTGGCAATATGGAATGTGTTTTTATTATATCATCTGTGAACTTGTAAAACATGAAAACAATTATTTTTTAAGGACTCTTCCAGATTAAATGTACTTTGAGTCCTCACAACAATAATAACAGATCAAGTGACCATTTGTTTTTAGAATTATTACTCTTCTCTTTTTGGGGGAGTGGGGGGTTCATTTGGTTGGTAGCTATTTTTATTGGAACATACAGTGCAAATTAGGCTGAAATAAAAGCTAACATTTAACTTGTACATTTTTATTATATTGTACAGAATTGGAATAAAAGACATTGGCTATAATATATGAGAAAATTTAATATCCACTAAGCATCATTTGCAAACATTTTTTAGCTTATGGGTTGGTCAGAAGTTGTCATAAAAACCAGAAGAAAAACTGGTTTAACCTTACTTGATTCAGACTTCACTGTGGCTTCAGCCAACTTGATCCCTCAAGTGTTTTTAACAATAACTTTGAAACAGCTATAGATTTGCAGTGTCAGACAAGATGACCAATTCCTCAATCAACAGACAAAAACCCAAGGCCCCTGAAAATTACATGATTTTCCAGAAATCATACCAATTGCAGAATGAGAACTAAAACTTAGGTTTCTTGATTCTTAATAGACTGTACTTTATACCATGTTACAGTGACTCATATAAGGCTAATTTTTTCATTATTAAAATATATTTCTTATGCTTATCACATAATAAAAATAGAATTTCATGTGTAGTTTGAATTACAAGCAATATAAATGGGTTGTTCATTAATGGGCAAACACAGGTTTACTATGAAGATTTAAGCAGAGTATTCTTTTCTCTTATTGAAATAGGTAATAATCTCTAACTATAGATAAACTTCTACTTTAATGCATAGATTTTAGTATACCATTAGGTATTGGGCATCATAATTTTAGTTTTTAACAAAACCCAGTCTATTGGTGTTGTTTGTCCTATAAAAAGAAAGCTTTCTGGGAGAAAAAGTTAAATTAAGGTAAATTAGAAAATGCTTAACTTGCTTAAAAGATTCCAACAGGTTCTTATGTGAATCTGATTTATAACTTGTCTCTCAGATCCAGTATTTCTGTAAATATAGTAATCTGCTAACTACATCAGAACTTTGGAATTCATTTCAGATGCTGGAGAGGGGACACTATCTTGTTAGATCACTGAATCTGACAAGAATATGAAGAGACTTTTCTTACCTACCTTAAGAGAACACAAAGCAATGCATGTAAAGAAAAGATGAGAGTAGGAATTTTACTTCTGTTTCAGAGTTATAGGAGATAAGTAAAAATTAATTATTGAGACTTAAAACGACATGAGTGAAGAAATGTTTGGTAATGGTGTGTCTGACTCGATAATCTTGTTTTAGAGAAATGAGATGACCTCGAGATAGGGAAAATTCAGAACTGACATTATATGGAAATAAAAGCTTTTCATATTGAAGTGTGGGAAAAAGGTGTTTCCCATATGTGGTGAACTCTTTTCTAGAAAATGGTTTTGAAAAAACTTGCACCGATTGATAGTTTTCTTTAAAATATTTATTTCTATTTTATGCCCTCAGAAAATCCTCAGAAACCTGCATTAGATTTCTTTTCAGTTTATGGCCTATAAAGGTTTATGGCCTTTTCAGTTTGGGTGTCTTAACTTTAAAAAAAAAAAAACTTTTGAACAATTTTTGATCTATAGGGCAGTGCTGTTCTATTTTTAAACTCTCTGATAATTTTTTTAAATGTTTGTGCGTCAGCATAGCGTCTGTTTCCTTTTTTAAGGAATTCAAGAGTGATTGTTTATAAACCCTTGTTGAGGAGCTTATTGTTTCTTGTGGCTTTTTAAATGGCTGTATTAAAGGGAGAATTATCACATGAACAGACATCCTGATTAACAGCAGTTCACTATGGTGGTGGGAGGAGGGGCATTCTTGACATAAATAACTCCATGTAACAAATATTTCATAAATTTCATTGACCTTGCCAAATAAAATGTCAAGTGTCAATCAAAATAGGTACCTAAAAAAAAAAAACAGTTGCATTATCACCTCCAATTTAGCATGCTGTCCTCTGAACATTAACATAGGTATATTTTGAATTCCTAAGATTTTGAAGAACTGTGCAATGAAGTATTTTTCAAAGAATAGTTTTCAAGTGAAGGAGAAAAGGCAGCTAGAAGATCAGCAGAAAAAAAACCTGCAGCTCCTGTTCAAAATAACGTGGATCAAGGATTTGATGGGAGAGTGAGCAACTATTTGTATGGAGAGTTGTATAGAGGGAAGGAAACAGCAGCTAGTGAGCTTGGCAGAAATCTTAGTGCAGGAATTTGAGAATCTAGTAGAAGAGACTAGTACCTAAAATAATAACGAAGAAAAACCAGAAGGAAGTTTTTATCATTGTTCATATTGAAATCATGTTTGAGAAGGAGGTTTGCAGGATTTACATCCACAAGCAAGTGAGAAAAGAAGGAGAGAAGGAGACTCAAACTAGCCAATTTTCATGGTCTCCACAAATATTTGTGCTTATGTTCTGAAACCAAAGCAGCCTGGCTTTTGTATTTTTAATGTGTTTGCCTTCCATCCGTCTCTGAAACATCATTTTATAATACAGGTAGATAGCTGCTGCCTCACAACCAACAGAACCAGGATAAGACTTAGCTTTTATCATTGCCTGAGTAGGTAGTACTTTTTTCCTTACAAAAATTATATAGTCTGTACTTATTGATGAGTATTTTTAAAATATCAAATTATCTTAGTCCTTCACATCATCCATAAGATAAAGGTTTCCAGAGGTTAGTGGGACATGGTACATGTTAGAATCACTGAAGAGGGGAAGTTAATAGAGATAAAAATAGCTTCTGGAATATGTACCCTTTTATTGTTTAAAATTTCAAATACAGATGTTATGTCCTCTCTTTATATAAAAAGTTTTTCATTCATTAGCAATTTTGCACCACTTGCAACCAAAAATGGAGTCTAAATCAATACAAGCCTGGGAATATATGCAGCCTGTAAGATATTTTTTGAAAGTACTTAAACTTTTGCCAAGTTTTCTTGGTTTATTTTTAGCTTCTGCTGGTTTTTTCTTTTTGGCAAGACTGCTCTTATTTCTAATCAAGCTAAAAACAACTTAAACTTGAGTCACTTTAGAATCTAGTACAACTGTGATGATTGTGGGAGTGTTTATTTCACTGCCCGCTTCAGAAACTCCTCTTCTGAATACAGTGTACAGGAAGGTACAGCTGCTACTTCCTAAAATCTGGAAGAAGGCTTAACAAGAATTACAGAATCACAATTAGCCTGCTAATTTTTCAGTGACTTTGTAGTGCCTTTAACCAGATTAGCAGTTTACAGTTACATTCTGAATTAATCATTTATTTAAGTTTCTGTATTGATTACATAACTCATAGAATTATTCTTTGTATTTATATGTCACAGCTGTGAAAACTTGAAGGGATCCTTTAGTCCTGAGAGGTTATGTGATACAGTAGAAAAAAAGCATAAAATTAGGAATCACACAATCTAGAGTCTGGTTGCGTTTCTGCCACTCTACTGTGTGACATTGGATGAGTCTTAGCTACTTCTCTTATAAGCAGAAAGGAAAAACATCAGCCCCACTCACTTCACAGAAATCATAAGGAGTAAATTATGTGAGTGCCCTTGGAGAACGTTACATAACAGATAGCAGGAACTGTGCCTGATGTGGGACCGAGACATGTCAGGACTTTCCCCGCATTGTCATCAGTTACTAAGATACTGAAATGGCTAGAAGTTTTGGTTGAAGATGAAAAGACCATTTAAAAGTAGTTTGCCTTTAAAAATAGGCAGTTTTCTTAAAGAATAATTTACTTAGAACTTGTTTTTATTCTTTTTCAGTTTAAAAGTACCTTTGATATCCCACAACTTTTTAGCCTAACTTAGGTGGCCTCTGAGAAGAAATGGATCTGAATATTGATTTTCGGTTTTTAGACCAAAATAAATTTTTCCTTTAAAATAGAGGGGTCAGCCTAAATTTAGAATACAGCTAGAATCCAAGTAGACTTGGAACACTGTCTGCTAAGGGTCTGAGCTCTCTCCATCAGTGACAGCTCAGCATCTCTGCAGTGGCCACTGCTTTTGCTTCCTAGACATATGATGTTTTGAGAGGCCTCACCTTACAAATAGATTTGCAGAACAGGAAGTAGATTCTTGAAAGGGAGGATTGTGATGAAATCGATATAAATCTCTGTTTTAAAATCTTGTACAGCCTTCTGTTCTAAAATCTTTTCTTCTGGATGAGACATTAGTCTTTAACGTTTGAGGAACTCTGTAACTGAAGACAAACAATAAGATACCAACAGAGAGGAAATTACTAAAGGATTGTATATATTTGAATTACTTTTATCAGTAACCCACTCTAGACTTGGAAGGTAGAGGAGGAGAGGGGCATTTAAAATCAATATGTTTTTATTCTGTGAATTTTCTTTAACTTAAAAAAAACCCTTATAAATTCAAGGTTGTCTGATATTTAAATCAATTCATTATCTTGATGACCACATATACCAATAGATTAGAAATAGATTTCTATGATAAAACCATGCATTTACTTTGGGGAAGGGAGTTTAATATATTATCATTATTTTATGTTAAGGCTAACTTTACAGTGGTTCTTAATCAGAAAGAATCAGCCTAAGTAGAAATTTTCCAAACAAATTAACTCTGATTCTTGGTAAATCCTATGCTAATAGAAGATCGTATTCATAAAGGATCCACAGTGTGAAGCCTAACAAAAATAAAGGCACTTGCTACTCTCAATGAATTTCTCATTACATTAGAGCTTACCAGTCCATAATGAAAACCAGGAAAAGGATGCTCCCAGTAAGAAAAGTTTATGAATTCTCCCCTCCTTTTTTTTAAAGCCTGATAACTAAATGTGGACCTTGATAAAATTTGAGTCATAGGAGGGAATGATTTTTTTTTTTCCCCATTGTGGGACAATGTCTCTCCCCCTCTTTGTGCAGAAGATGACAGCCCAGGTCTCGTGCTGGTGGCAGGAGCCTTTCTCCACAACCTGGGAGAAAACTGGCAAGGATAGACTGGAGTAGGCCAGACCTAGGGAAGTTACTACGCTCTGTCAACCTCCTGATTTACTTCATGGAGATGTGAATGAAAAGTAGGTTCTCTCATGGAAAGAGTTGGAGACTCCTGCCCTTATGATTAAACTCTTACCATGACTATTTGAAATAAAAAGAATTGACTTGTGAAGAGAACCAAATCCATATTCTCACACATTTAGTAGTTTAATAACTTATGGGTATTTGTAAGCTTCTTTTAGCAGTTTTAATGAAGACCTCTAGCAAATAAAATCATTGAGAAACTGTATTTATTTGTTTGTTTGTTTATTTGTTTATAGAAACTGTATTTAATCTACAGCATTCTAGGATCCAGTTTCTAGTTGAATGCTCTGTTAACATGATTTAAAGGAATCTAGGTAGCTGATCCTAGATAAACTAGTCTGGATGTCAGAAAAAGTAATGGGTTATCACTGTGGCCTTTCTCTTCATGAGGTAGATAGAAACCAACTGGAGATGTTCTGAGATCAGGTAACAGGTGGAAGCTTGTTTCCATGCTCTTTGCCTTTCTTCCCTTTGCATTCCTGCGGCTGATGAGGAGTTTAGTAAGTTCAGCCACTCAGAGTGTACAGAGATCAAGAACTAAGTTGATACAGAATCTTAGTAACTGGTTTTGCCACTGATTTTAGTAAGGGCTTAGGCTAGCAGTTTGTTATAAAGTCCAAAGCATTCTATGTGGTCAGAACATTTTGGGAATTTTAAAATTGACTGTTCATTGTCTTTTGAAAATGTTAATAATAGCTTTAATCATTCTGAATCAAAGATTTTAATAAGATAATTTTCCTTTTTCTTCTTAGATCCCAATTTTGTTCGGACATTTCTTACAACATACAGATCCTTTTGTAAACCTCAAGAACTACTGAGTCTTATAATAGAAAGGTCTGTTAATGTAAAATGTTTAAATTCTTTTTTTTTTTAAAGAGATTGAGCTAAGATCCTACATGTTTCTCAGAAATAAATTATATGAGCTTTAAATTATAGTTCATGAGTACTTTTTTAAGAACTAACATCTCTTAGATGACCATTTATATTATAATAATCTTTTAGTTTTGATCATTGAAAAATGAGCATTCTTTTTTACATGGAAACCCAGTATGGGAAATTTCAAATTTATGGAATTAGTCAAGTTAAAGAACTATATAAAAATGTATAATTTAGGCTCTGGAAACTTAAATTTTGATGATTTAGATGTTCTAAACAGAATTTTTCAAATATATCACATGTTGAAGAAAATGGAGCTTATCAGTGAACAAATACCATAATCAAGAAAAGTGTTTCAGCCACCCAAGGAACAGTCAACTTTTTAAGCATTACCCTTAAAAACTATTATGTTAGCTGATTTAGAGTGATTACACAAGCCAAAAATGAACAGCAGTCCCATAACTTTATAATCACATTTATTTTTAGACTCTGCATGTATTCTTTATTATGTTTCTCATTTTTTTAAATATTGGCAAATATTAATTTATTTTTTAAAAATTAAAGTAAGATCTTTAAACCTTTATAGAAGCCTTACTTGTTTTCACTGATAATGTATGTATGTCTGTAGTTAATTTTCACATTGCTCTCTTGATTGTGCTGACTAGTGAAAAGGTTTGTAGTTTTCAGTTTGTATAATTTGATATTATTAGTATTTTCATTAGTTTGTTCTGTTTTATGTTAGGTTTGAAATTCCAGAGCCTGAGCCAACAGAAGCTGATCGCATAGCTATAGAGAATGGAGATCAGCCCTTGAGTGCAGAACTAAAAAGGTTTAGAAAAGAATACATACAGCCTGTACAACTGCGGTAAGCAGTAATGAAATAACTGAAGTAGTGAAGTCTGTCTTGAGCTTTGGTTTCAGAATTGAAGTAAATAAGGATCTTTCCAAGCAGGAGGAGGTAACAAGTAAAATGAGGGAAGCAAAAGTGTAAGCCACTGATAAAAGTATTTAATTTGGAAAGAATTACTCTTTTAATTTACACAATTCATCATGATAAACATTTATGCCTGAGTTCCCATGTAATTCAGTTATTCTTCTGTGTTAATGCCATAGAGTATTAAATGTATGTCGGCATTGGGTAGAGCACCACTTCTATGATTTTGAAAGAGATGCAGATCTTTTGCAGCGAATGGAAGAATTTATTGGAACAGTGAGAGGTATGGTGTTTTTTTTTTTTTTAAGTGCCTAGTTTTACATGTAAAAATACCACTATGGTGACTATCAACTGATGTCATTATTGTTCAGTGTTGTTAAAAGTTGTTTATAATAGTGGCAGCATAAGCACTTGAAAAAGTTGAAAATTTTCACCAAACGTTTTGATTTACAAATTCCTCAATAGTCACCCTGTTGACCTGGTGTATTTTCATTTAGTAAATCAACTTACTGATTATTTTCGAACTGGCTAAAAAAAAAAGTCTCAATTTATGCTATTTTTCCACTTATCTGAAGGTCTGTGTACCAGAAGACAATTAGGAACTGGTGTGTCATCATATCCCCTCGAGTTTCAAAGATTCTATGATTGTGTAGGTCTAAGAATGTCCTAGACAAACTTGTTTCTAATTTCCATAGTGCACTCTAAATGAGAATCAGAAAATAAAGAGTTAAATGAGAGTACTTTCATGCATAGTACAAAACAGAGTCACATCAGAAACTCTAACATGAAGGAATCAAGCCCCTGGCACTGTTTGGTGTATAAAATGCAATGTTAATTAGGTTAACAGTGAATGTGTATAGTTTATTCTTATAAATCTCATGTCTTTTTTATGGAGAATTATAACATTTTGAACTGAAGTTTGGAAGAGTGGAGGTGAGAAATCTCTATGAATGAGTTACTTTCTAATTTTATTTAGAAAGGACATGGAATAATGTATACGAGACTGTTAATGGTGGTTAGCCATGGGAAGGAGCATGAGATTAGGATAGGGAACAGGGAAATGGTAAAGGGGAACTTCCTTTTTTTTAATTTTGATCATTGAACTTTGTAATAGCAAAGATATATTTAAGTATCACCTGTCTAATTTTAAAATATTTTAAAAGAATAAAATAATTGAGTGAAAAGTATTTAAATGTCATTTAAAATGTAATGTATTTCAGGTAAAGCAATGAAAAAATGGGTTGAATCCATCACTAAAATAATCCAAAGGAAAAAAATTGCAAGAGACAATGGACCAGGTCATAATATTACATTTCAGAGTTCACCTCCCACAGTCGAGTGGCATATAAGCAGGCCTGGGCACATAGAGACTTTTGACCTGCTCACCTTACACCCAATAGAAATTGCTCGACAACTCACTTTACTTGAATCAGATCTGTATCGGTATGTAATTTGACATTCAAGCTGAAAAATCATTTCAAAGGAGTTAATTTTTTTTTATGAAATACTGGTTTCTGCCTTATAGGAATGTTAAAAGACATAAATGAGCTAGTACCTGAAGTGTGTAGTAGTAAAGCCTTGATGGACAGACAGCCTCCCCTTCTTTCTCTCCCTGATTCCCCTGTTCTGCCTGGATTTACAGATTGTGTCTGTTGTCACTCCCGCTGGTAAAGCTAAGTGCAGATTCTGGCTTTACCAATCACTGGCTTGGTATCCTTGGGCAACTTGAGCCTTCTTGTGTCCCTGAGCTTCCTCAAGATTAAAATGGGGCTAATAACAGTACCTATTCCTGGGGCCATTGTTAGATTGGAAATAGTAAATAAACAGTGCTTAGCACATTGCCCAGCACAAAGTAACTTACTTTCAGTAAGTTAGCTGCTGCCCTTGTAGTTGTGAACTTAAGTTATGGCCAGTTATAGCCTCTTTTAGTTTTTCTGCATTAACGTAACTACTGTCTCAGTGTATTTCTCATTTTAAATGGGGACTATTTAGAATTTAGAATAACAAACTATTTTTTAATAACTACATGAATAAAAGGAACTTAATTTATAGGTCTCTGTCTGCTCCAAAAATCATTACTTTCCCAAAAACCTAATGTATTAGAATCTACTTTATTTATTTCGCAGGACCTTTCTGTGGTTTGGTTCCCCTGCCTCCTTTAGGGAAAGAAATTTATGATTTATGAATTACAGTGATTACTATATCCTCAGTGAACTGATTATTATAACAGATACCATTATTTAAAAGAACTATCCCAAATTATACTGTCACCCTAATTCATTAAATAGTATTTGTAAGTGCTGGGAAAGATGTTATGAAAAAATCCCAATGTTGCCCAAAGCAGAATGCTACTATAAAGTGATAATACAAGTATATAGATATACGCATAGAAATAGAAAAATATCCATAATTTAAAGATTTTGTTATACCTTGTTTTCATAAACCTTTCTGTTGGTGTTCAAAGAAGTTTTATATGGGAGTTTGATTTTATTTACCTCATTTACTTAATAAAGCAGTGTGCTAGAGGCAAAGGTATCATGTAGAATTATTATGTCTTGATGATTTTAGAGCTGTACAGCCATCAGAATTAGTTGGAAGTGTGTGGACAAAAGAAGACAAAGAAATTAATTCTCCTAATCTTCTAAAAATGATCCGGCACACCACTAATCTCACTCTGTGGTTTGAGAAGTAAGTAGTGCTGCCACCATACGCTTCATAGCAGCCCGCTCTTAGAACCTGAAATGCAGTTCTGCTTTTGTATGCCTCATGTCCTTTTTTATTCCTCTATTCCTGCTTTGTTTTGCACTGAGAATAGTTTTCTAACGTATTTTTCCTCTTTTTTTTTTAATGTATTTTTATTTCATTTAATGGTTTCTTGAGGATGTGTTTAGTGGATGCTTTATCTTCTCGGAATCAGCTGCAGACTTGTGCTAGCTTGATTCCAGGGTACATAGAGGTGTTCCTCCTAGGTAGCCCTATTCCGTCTTCCTTTTTTGTGGTATTATTGTACTATGTGTTACATATAATAATGAGGCAACTCTGATAATAATACATTGTAACAATTGTTGCTTTACCGTTTGTGGCCCACCTCCTCTATGTAGTTATTGGCAATGTATTATGTATGGCCTTTTAAGTCCAACGATACATTACATACATATTATTTTATACAGTTTGCTTTTAAATCAGTTCACAGAAGCAATGAGAAAAAATACGCATTTGTGTCATCTTATGTAATCACTTAATTACTGTCACTAGCACTCTGTTTTTGTGGATTCGTGTTACTATCTGGGGTTCCTTGCTTTCACCCTGAAGAACTTCCTTTAGTAGTCTTCCTCTGCTGGGTTTGCTAGCAACAGATTCTCTCAGCTTTTGTTTATCTGGGGAAGTCTTTATTTTGCCTTCATTTTTGAACGATAGCTCTATCTTCAAGTTAATTATTTCTTCTGCCAGTTCAAATGTACTTTTGAGCCTCTTTAGTAAGTTTTTTAACTACTGTATTTTTTAATTTCAGAGTTTCCATTTGGTTCTTTTTATTACTGCTGTGTCTTTTATGATATTCTGTGCTGCACTCTGTCATCCTATCTTCCTGTACTTTTTAAATCCCGCTTTCTTTCTATTAGTTCTGTGAACATATTCGTAATGGCTACTTTGAAATCATTTTCTGTTAAATCTGACATCTGGTCCTTCTCACAGGCAATTACTATTCCCTGCTTTTTACCTCGTGAATGGGTCATCCAGTAATTCCCCCTTATCCATGGAGAATACATTCCAAGGCCCCCAATGGATGCTTGAAAGCATGGATAGTACTGAACCCTATATATACTATGTCTTGCTCCTATACATACATACCTATGATAAAGTTTAATTTATAAATTAAGCACAGTAAAAGATTAACAACAATAACTAATAACATAGAACAGTTATAATAGTATACTACAATAAAAGTATGTGAACGTGGTCTCTCTCAAAATATCTTCCTGTACTGCAGTCACCCTTTTCGTGATGATGTGAGGTGATAAAATGCCTATGTGATGAGATTAAGTGGTGTGAATGCTCACGTAATGTGACATAGCCTTAGGATACTAATGACCTGATGATACTTCAAAAGGAGGATCATCTGTAGGATGTGGTTGGCTATGGGTAACTGAGACTGGGGAAAATAAAACTGCAGATGAGTGGGGACTGCTGTACTTTCTTGTTGCTTTGCATGCCTCATTTTTTGTTGGAAACTTGACATTTTAGATAATACATTAAAGCAACTTACGGGTAGTTCCTTCCCCTGACCCCCAGAGCTTGTTATTGTTATTGCTTATTTAGTGAATAACTAACTAGATTTATTGTAGTGAAGCCTATCCCCCCTGCTCCCTCCATACTGAGACTTGAAGCTGAGAAGTTCCTCTTCTGAGAGGTATAGATTTGGGTATGTCCATCGTCATCCTAAGAAGGTGGCAGTATAGGTAGGGATTTCTTGGCCACACTCAGTTGTTAAACTCCACTAATTGGTAACTGATTACTCTACTGTTTCAACAACTTCCCAGGCACATGGGTCAGCCTTCAACTCAGGTCATGATCTTGGGGTCCTGGGATCAAGCCCCTGGTGGGCTCCCTGCTCAGTGGGGAGTCTGCTTCCCCCTCTCCCTCTGTCCCTCCCCTCTGCTCATGCACTCTTGGACTCTCTATCCCAAATAAATTAATAAAATCTTTTTTAAAAAAAACCCACAAAACCATTTCCCTAGTGGTATAAATTAATCTGCAGACTAATCCAATCAAATTGTGACTGCTCTTAAGGAGTAGTTTCTTAGGTCTCTGATACTTGTTCTGACCCCAGGAAGACCCCTTTTTAGCTTTTTTTCCCTGGTTCTCTCCTGCAGACTAGTCAACCGACATTGTAGGCAGTTAGATCCATGAATCTAATCCTATCGCCTTCACTACAACCTTCCTTCATTGTTCTCAAGATAAACTTCCTCACAGTTGGTTGCAAATGACAAGAGTAAGTAGGAACTGTTTGAGCCTGCCCTCCTGAGCTCAGGATGATGGCAAGCTTCTCTGAAACATTATCACTGCCACATCAGCAATCCAGAATCTCAATGCAATTTTATAGTTGGGGCCACATGAGTAGCATTTTATACACTGGCCATTTTTTTCTGAGTAAATACAAAGTGATTAATTGACTAATATGACTGAAACTTTAGCTAAAATGTGGATAAAGGCTTGAAAGCAATTTCTAAAGAGAAATTAGCATTCCAAGTTACTTATTTTATGTTATTATTTCTTAGCCTCTAAAAAGTAAGACTTTAGGGGCACCTCGGTGGCTCAGTTGTTTGTGTCCAACTCTTGATTTTTGTCTCAGGTCATGATCTCAGGGTTTAAGATCGAGCCCCACATTGGGCTCTGTGCTCAACAGGGAGTCTGCTTGAGATTCTTCTCTCTCTCCCTCTCCCCCTCTCCCATTGTTCTCTTCCTCTTTTTTTTTCTGTCAAATAAAATAAATTTTTTTAAAAAAGTAAAACTTTATAATTTGCCGTCTAAATGTTGCTTCCTGATTGCTTCATTATCAAGTTAAATAACTGTACTTAAACATGCAGAAGACCTTTTCCATCATAATGATTAAAATGTATGTCTATAAAGAGGAAACATAACCAATAAGACAGACCATTTTCATTTCTATCCTATTTTTTAATAGATGACTGAAAGGCCATTTCCTGCACTTTTTCCTTTTTCTTATTTTTTTAAATTGTTGTAAGAACACCTAACATGAGACGTACCCTCTTAACAGTTTTTTAAAATGTGTAATACAGTATTTTTAATTTTGAGGCATAATGTACCGTGGATTTCTAGAATTCATCTTGTGTAACTGAAATTTTATACATGCTTGTTGACAACTCCCTGTTAATCCCCTTCCTCTAGCTCCTGGCAATCACCCTTTATGCTTTTATAATTTTGACTTATTTTAGATACTTCATATGTGTAGAATCATGCAGTGTTTGTCTTTCTGTGATTGGCTTATTTATTAGAATAGCATCCTTAGGGTTCATCAATATGGTCACATATTGCAGGATTTTCTTCTTTTTAAGGCTGAATAATATTCCATCATGTGTATATACCACATTTTCTTTATCTGTTCAATCATAGATGGGCATTTGAATTATTTCTACATCATGGCTATTGTGAACAAACACTGCAACAAACATAGAGTGCTAATATCGCTGAGACCCTGATTTCAATACTTTTGAATAAATAACCAAAAGTGGAACTGATGGATGATCATATGGTAGTTCTATTTTTAATTTTTGAGGAACCTCCGTACTATTTTCCATAGTAGCTATACCAGTTTGCATTCCCCCCACCAACAGTAAACAAGGGTCCCAATTTTGGCTTTTTCAATGTGAGAGATTCTTGTTCGTTTGCTATAGTGGTTCTCAGCCATGGATGTACATTAGAATTGAAGTCACCTATGGATAAATCACCCCAGACTTACCTGGTTTTTACAAAAACTCCACAGGTGATCTCAGTTTGTGTACCTGGGTAATATCAACTGAAATAGTTAAATAAAAGCTGTGAATATACTTGTACTTTTTTAAATGTCCAGCTAACTAGTTAGCCAGTATATGACATATTTGTAGAGATCTAGCTAATGCTTTAAACATGTAAACATGTTATGTTTAATTTGATAGCAAGGCGAATTTATTTTGATAGTTTTACAATAGTTTTTTTCTTAGTGACCATTTACCCTCATTGGCAAATAACGTAACTTTCACCTTTATATTTTTAAAAAAAATTTTTAATCTTTATTGATATTTATTTTTCCATTTATATATTCTGGGTTTTTTCTTAGATTATACGTTGTTTAATATTACATTATTAAAAACCAAGTTTAAAATGCCTTTTTCTTTCCTGGTGATTAGTAAATTAAAAAATTCTCTCAAATATTAGTAAGTGCTTACTGAGGAGTTTTCTTTTTGAGCATAGTATGCTTCCTTTTAACTATGCCCTGGAATTTATGTACCTTCCAAAGATTCTTGATTTTTAAATATAAAGTGCTTTTTGAGTTTTTTTCTTCCTTAGTAATTTAAGAAATTTTATTCTCAATTATGGTAAAATACTTTCATTGACTTTTTAACATTTCAATGCTTTTCTAAAGAGCTGCTCCTAGAAATGTAGCTAATTATTTCTGTATACCAAAGAAAGAAACATTAATCACTGCAATCTTGGAGTTAGATGAATAGGAGACACGGAATTCTTGAGTTCCAGAATAAATTCCCCTAGAATACCCACATCCCAAAGACCAGCATACATTCAACAAGATGTTAAGCTCATCAATTAATCCTAATAGAATAGGAAAAAGCTGGACTGTTTAGCTGTGTCAGTGTGAAAAACTAAAGAGCACCATGCCCAACTGAAGGCACTGCCTTATCCGGTCTTCTGCTGTTCACCTGTCACTCTGAATATAGATTCTCTATAGTTACTCTATAACCATCCGCCCCACTCTACATTATTTTATTTACTAAATTCCTTAAGTTATAGCTTTGTTGGGAAAACTACAAATTTAATTCATTTTTTGTCTTTGATTCCCAGATGTATTGTAGAAACTGAAAACTTAGAAGAAAGAGTAGCTGTGGTGAGTCGAATAATTGAGATTCTACAAGTCTTTCAAGAGCTGAACAACTTCAATGGTGTTCTTGAGGTTGTCAGTGCTATGAACTCATCACCTGTTTACAGACTAGACCACACATTTGAGGTAGGTTTGTGTAGGTATTTCTTAAATGAAGAATCAGGATTTTAACAATCATAGTCTTTAATTTTTAAGTGCCTCGTCTGTCTTTTCAGTAACAGTTTAAAAGATGGAATTGTCTAAGTTTTGTATTGAGTTGGTTGTGCTTTTTAAATTAGGCATTCTCATTAAAATGCATTCACAGGTCCTAGGCTAGGTTTGAAGAAGAAAAACCTTTCAGGATTTAATTTATATGTAATGTACAATTAAGTGTTCTCGTAATTGTGTAAGGAATTGCAAGATAAATTAGATTTCTCTCTCTCTATCACACACACACACACACACACACACACACACACACACCCCTCTTAAGTTTGTTCTAGGATCCACAAAGATAGTGTGTTTGAAACAATTATTATCATTCTTAGAATCAAACTGATACTGTTGTATTTGGCTTCATTTTTAGCCCAGCATTTTGGGACAAACCTGTGATTCCTTTTATAAACTTACGCTCCCAAAATTTCTTTTTTTTGTAGCAAATACCAAGTCGCCAAAAGAAAATTTTAGAAGAAGCTCATGAATTAAGTGAAGATCACTATAAGAAATATTTGGCAAAACTCAGGTCTATTAATCCACCATGTGTGCCTTTCTTTGGTGAGCATTTCTTGAATTTTTATTGTTTCTGGATATAACAAGACATTTATTTCATTAAATGACTGTACGTACGTGTCATATGCCAGCAGAAAATACTTATTTAATAAATAGCATGTGAATCACCATAGAATTTTACTCTATTAGGACTTTTGAAAAGGGAAAACTGTTCTTGCTTAGCAAATTAAAATTATAGGTTTACTAATACTGAACTTTCCTATTTACTAATATTAAACCTTATTTATTCACAGTAAATTGATCTTTTAAGTTTACAAATGAATTCTATTTAGGATTTTTATATCCATCTACATGAATGAGATAGGTCTGTGATTTTTCTTTGTGTTGTATCTGTCAGCTTTTGTTATTATTATATTTACTTTGTAACAAGAGTTCAGTAGCTTTCCATCTTACTCTATTCTGGAATATCATGAAATGATTTAGCATTTAAACTTTGAAACAGGCCAACAGAAAAAGTGTATCTAGGCCTGGAATCTTTTATAGGATACAGTTCTTTAGTAACATTTTCATTCCTACCTTAATTTTTTTCTATTTCTGTTTTCTGCTACACAATTGTCTTATTTTATTTTATATATTTTTAAAGATTTTATTTATCCATTCATGAGAGACAGAGAGAGAAAGAGGCAGAGACACAGGCAGAGGGAGAAGCAGGCTCCGTGCAGGAAGCCCAACGTGGGACTCCATCCCGGGTCCCCAAGATCAGGCCCTGGGCTGAAGGCAGTGCTAAACCACTGAGCCCCCCAGGCTGCCCTTGTCTCATTATTTTAAAAATACCAGTAGTCAGTTATATCTATCTAAATTGTTCCTATTTGCAATGTATCTTTTCCATTTCTATTTTTACTTTGCTTTTTACTTCAAAAAGATAAAACTGAAATATAATTACTCTCTTCTTTTGTTTTTTATATCATGTATTACTTTTTATCATTATATTTTTTTTTTCCTGAGAACTTTTTGCCCCCTACACTCTTGGTAAAACTATTGGTTAATTTATTTTCTCTTTCTGGCAAAACATTTTAATTATAAAAGTACAGATTCAAGGGTACCTGGCTGGCTCAATCAGTTAAGCATCTGCCTTTCACTCAGGTAGTGATCTCAGGGCCCTGGGATTGAGCCATGTCTGGCCTCCCTGCTCAGTGGGGAGTCTGCTTCTCCCTCTCTCTCTCTCTCTCTCCCCCCCTCTTTCAAATAAATCAATAAAATCTTTTTTAAAAAAAGTACAGATTCATCAGATTTAATTTTCAAAATGAAATGTATCTTACATAAGATCTTGTAAGTTAGAAATGTTATACCTATCTGGGCACTACAGAAGATGCACAAGACCTTCCACAGTTCCTAGAGGAAAGAATGTAAAGACAATTTTGATAAGGAGTTAAAAACAATTTTAAAACAGTTTAGAAAAAGAATCAAGAAGCAGATGCATTAAAATCTGTGTATTTCAAGTGTGGTGACTGTGATGCTAGTTCATACAAGGGAGCCTTGGAAGAACCTGGGTAGGCCTGATATTCCTTTCATTCCATCTGTCAGCAAATTCTTGAGTACCTATGAAGTATCAGGGACTATGCCAGGTGCATAGAAAAAGTAAAAAATACACAGTACCTGCCTGTGCTCCCTGAGCTTATGGTTGTACTACTTGTGATATCCTACAGCTTCTACACCTCCTACACCTCACAGAGGTGAACCAAAACTTCAGGGCCTATTCACCCAGCTGTCGGTTTGGCCCCTGCTACCCTATCACCCTGATTGGTGAGCAGTTAGTCACACAGACTGCACTCTCTAAACTATTCTCCATCAGACATACGAGCTAACATAACTGATCTTCATAATGCACTGTTAAGTGAAAAAAAAAAACAGTTTCAGACCTGTATTTAGAGTATGATTTCATTGTTTTAATGTTGGCCATGTGATTTGGTGAGTGAACACAAAAGTGCAGCTAGTTTGATAGGTACAGACAAGTCACCTGCCAGCTTTCATACCTACCTCTCTCTGCTTATCTCTCTGGTTATTGAGCTTCGCTGTTTCAAGGTCAGTTCTGCTGCTCTAAGATGATCTTTGCTGTTCCCCAGTTCCTGGGGTTAGCCACACAGCCTTTCATGGTTCTGACCAGAGGGTAGAACCAGATGTTATTGCTGCTTCCTAATTCTGTATCGTCTATATGGTGGCTTGTAGAAATTCCTTCCAGATTCTTATCCTTAACTCTGGGGACTAGTTTTTTTGGATTTTTTTTTTTCCTCCTCTATGGGAGAGTCAGAGGTAGCATCTGACACTTTCACTCCCTCTGTCATCTTACCAGAATTCTCATTCATGTCTTTTGCTGGTGCTGCACCATTTACAGAATAAAAGTCAGGCAACTTCTCCTTCTGAGGCTTTCCCAGACTGTGGATCTATATCCCAGTTTTTCTCCACATACCAAAGTGTTCTACTTTTTATAAATGGGTATATGTAGGCAAACATTTCCTCTAAGGTAAAAGGATATAGATTGTTCCTTTAGCCAAGCCTCACCTCCCTGCACAAACTATCCAAGCCTGTAGCTTTGGCTTTGTTCTTTCCTTTCATACAGCTGTAATTTTGTGTCCTCCTCCTGCTTCTTCTCAGTCTGCTTCATCTCCACCCTTGTATCCTGCCATTTTAGGATTAACTGTAGGTCTCTTGCATCCTGAGCCATTCTTCAAATGCTTTCTCTTCTATTCTGAAATAATGTGCTTTTTATTCATTCAGAGATATTGTTGAATGCCTCTACCTGCCACGCTGGGTGTCAAGAATCAAGAGACAAATAAAACATAGTCTTATTCTCAATAAGCTCTCTTGAAAGAGCAGAAAAATACACTGCATCACAGAAATGTATATATTGAAGTAAGTGGAAAGTGCTACATAGGAACCTAGAACCCTGTGCAGCCAGTTTTTCCTACAAAGATAGGGAAAGGCATCAGCAACAATGTAAACCTTACCCCTCTTCATTATTTATGTCATAATGCTCTGCTTTCCTTCTCCCCAGACAGCCATCACCAGAGCAGGGTATGTAAAATGATCTATTGAAAAAAATTAACCTTTACCAGTAGATGATATTCAGGTCTATATATCCATTTGTACTACATTTTTTACTCAGAAACTACATATACATATACGTATACGTATACATATATGTATTTTTTTTAAGAGAGAGAGAGAGAGAATCTGTGCTTAAGCACTTTTTACTGATGGTAGTGTGTGATCAACAAAATTTGGATACATCTTTAATCATTTGCTCTTCTTTTAACTAGCCATTAATATGTCATAACATAATTTCCAGATTCTATCCAGAACTCTCCCAAAATGCTACGTGTAAGCATTTTCACAACTTTGTTCAAGTATATGCTGAACACATACAACGTCCCATCCTCTGTGTTCCCAGTGGCAGTCATTATACCCCCACCCGTTCAGTCAGGCACAAATCTGAGAGTCTTCCTTTCCACCCTGCTCCCTCTGCCCCGACCAGTTACTCAGTTGTTGTAGAGTCTACCCCTTAAATATGTATGCACTTCACTCTATCACTGGAGACCCTAAGATAGCCCTCATTAGCTCACCAGGACTACATTTACCCTGCTAATTGCTCATCCTGCTTCTAATCTTAACTCCTAACCCATCTGGTTTCGTAGTACAGCCAGAGTAAACCTTCTAGAATGCAAAGATGCCAATAATCTCCTATGAATAAAAATTAAGGTCTTTAAAAAAAGGCTCCTCATGATTCCAATCCAGGTGCTGCTACCCACAAACTCTTGGGCCATCAATGTGGGACCAATGTAGAAGGTTGATTCCAGCTGCCCCTTAAATATGTTTACTATATGAATATGTTTGTCAGACTGAACATTGAGCTATGTACATCATGCAACATAGTGTAGTGGAGGATATAACTGGCTGCAAGTAAAAGAGCCAAGTAACAGGCAGATGTAGAAAATAAAAAGCCTGTGCATATTAGAGCACATGGTAAATCTGTCTTATGAATATGAATGTATAATCAAGAGTAGCCTAGGTGCTAAGAAACAGCCAACTAATACACTTAAAAACCAGATACTTTTTAGAACCAAACAGGTGTTGGTATCTATCATTTTGCATTATTGCTGACTTTTTCACTGAGTTTGAGTCATTTAATCTTTTCAGGAGTGTGGCCAAATATTCAGGTATTTGAAAGTGTGCCTCTGCTACAAAAGCCTTTAGAACCACTACACTATGATTAGAACAAAAGTGCCTGTTATTTTGTCCATTCTGCTCCTTCCGTGGTGCACAACCTGCAGTGGTGGGGGATTAGAACTAGTAATCCCTTGCCTATGTCTGTCCTCCTATCCTCCACTCTTCCTCCACCCACACACCAAACCCCTCTGGTCTAGCCATATGCACAGCATGCTGTCTCCGACTATGCCTTCCAGGCTTCGTCACAAACCAGTGCCTTCCTACACATTGCTGCTTTGCTTAGGATGCCCCTCTCTTACTCATTAAACTTTGCTTCATTTTTTGAGATTTATTGTCAACATCACTTCATCTGTGATGCTTTTTCTATTCCCACCAGCCCAAGGCAGACAGGCACACCTCTGTGCTCTCATAGCATTTATGCATTACTACTGATATAGTACTTACCAAACTGTACTGTAGCCCACATTCAAAGCTCTGAACTCCTTGAGATCAGGGATTGTGTGTCTTGTTCATCTTTGTACTGCAGCACCTAATGCAGTGCTGGGCATGCAGCAGAGACTCAGTACTTGTATGCTGGGTGAATGAACTCATATTCATACACACTCTTTTCTTTCCCCAATGTCACAGTCAGTACTTTAGGGGGAGAGGCAGAAGCTTAAAAGAATAAGGCAAGACTGGCAAATCAGCATCAACAATCACAACCATCGCTAATTAAGTATTTGCTGTTGTCAGGCCCTATTCTAAGTCTATATGTAAATTTACTCCCTTATTTCTCAAAGCAACCCTGCTGTCCTCATTTTACAGATGAAAAAACCAAGGCACAGAGAAGCTAAGCAACTTGCACAAGACCACACAAGCAGAAAGCTGCAAGAGTTGGCTCCAGAACATTTATGCTAGAACAGAAAGGAATTAAGGTGCTCCCCGCCCCAGAGGGCCATATAAAGAATGTGCAAGTGCCTGGATTGGGTTCCTTCTCCTCCTCCAGTGCACAACCTACAGTGATGGGGAAACAGGAGCTCAATTATGAGACTGCCACTCATCCTAGAAGTACTGAAGACCAGAACAGACATAAATTATATCCAACACTGTGTTTGATAGGTTTGCAGGTCCTTATACATTCCCACAAGTAGGCCTATCCAAACAGTATTACCTCTGAATTACAAAAGCCAAACGAGTTTTGAATAAGCAGAAAATATGATCCTTTGAATTTAATGTTTTCCCCTTTGGCCAGAAATATGTGTTGTTACGTGGTGGGTTATGCTCAAAGTTCCTTTAACAAAACAGGGACTTGTGTCAAATACCACATGGTTTTGGAGGTATGGAAAATTGGTTATCCTCCTGATAGAGCTCTTAAAATTTGTTAAACTTGGTTTCCCTTTTTCTGCGTATTTATAAAACTTAAGTGTCACAGAAGAATTTGACATTTATTAAAATATTTCTCTTGATATTTAGCTAGTTTTTCATAGAATGGAAATCTGTGCCTTAAATCTTTGGTTATGGTGATTGAGATGGTAGTGTGATATGCTGACAATTACTGACAAAGAAAAAGACCTAACTGGTTCCTTTCTTATCCTTGAAATAATTTAATTATATCTTCCAGGAATTTATCTAACTAATATCTTAAAAACAGAAGAAGGCAACCCTGAGGTCCTAAAAAGGCATGGAAAAGAGCTTATAAACTTTAGCAAAAGGAGGAAAGTAGCAGAAATAACAGGAGAGATCCAGCAGTACCAAAATCAGCCTTATTGTTTACGAGTAGAATCAGATATCAAAGTAAGTTGAATTCTTTGAGGATATGTCTTTCTAATAAAGTTTATAAACCAGCTGATGAAAGCTGGTTTATTTCATACAGGTGATAAAGGAAAATAAAGTTAAAAATAACTCAAATTTTCATATGTTAAATGTTTTCATGAATTTCAAATGCATTTAAAATATTTAATACTAATAATTATTTCTTGCATTTATTTTAGAGGTTTTTTGAAAATTTGAATCCAATGGGAAATAGCATGGAAAAAGAATTTACAGATTATCTTTTCAACAAATCCCTAGAGATAGAACCACGAAACCCTAAGCCTCTGCCAAGATTTGTAAGCATTCACATATTTATATTTCTTTCATATTTATAGATTTTTTTGCAGTTTTCTATATCTGGTTATATCATCACTACCATATGTGTTATACAGATTAGTTTCCATGAGGTCATTCAGGGATGAAGTGTACCTGTGATGGATAAAAGTAATGAATAAATGCTTAATAAGTATGCTCAGGAATATCCCATTTGGTTGGAAATAAGTGAGCATTACTATTAATATGAATAAATCCTGATAGATGAAGAAATTGGGCAAATATGTAAGTTGTTTTTGTAAAAAGAAATGTTATTTGAGATGTATTCTTAAAGGCAGGAAATTTGATTAAGTTATACTAATTCACTTAAACATATTCATTTATGACTTTTCTAAAGTAACAACTTATGAAAACTTTTAACCACGAATCATTAGCCATAAAAATAACAAGTTTGGTTAAAGATACTTTTGGGGGGAAAGTAAAGTTTCCATTGTTTTTTATTACTTGTCAATGCCTGGCTAGTTTTATGTAGTGTCATCACCTCACTGGTCTGAATATAATCTGTCTTGTTCCTTCTTAAAAAAATAAAAAATCAAGAAGTAAATAAAAGTGGCTTCCTTAGTAACCAAGGTAAATTTCAAAGTATCTGTGAACTAAAGCTTATGCAATTACCTCGCAAGAAAATTTCTTAAGGCCTAAAACCGTTTTCTAAAAAATTCATTAAAAACAGCAAATTAGAAGTAGCTATATAGTCTTGCTTCAAAGAGCTTTGCTAATAGCACTCTGTAAGAAAATTTCATAAAACTAGCATACACACACAGATGAAAACTGAAGCAATTTAATGCATTTGTAAATAGCTCAAACAATTCCAACATCACAGTATTACAGCATCATAAAGTATTATAGTTCATAATCATGATCCTGGCTTTTCCAGCAAGGTTAAATTAGTTCAACAAGATCTGTTTAAAAAGCCAGGGAAATCTACAGCATATCTGAGAAAGATTCCCATTCAAAAATATCAAGATAACAAATACTGTAGTATTTTTAGGACTAAGACTCCGCTATTTAAAGAAATCCATTGCCTACTATTTTAAGTAGCCAAGGCTTTATGGAAATGGGATGTTAATATAACTTGGACACTTTGATTTTAATCATTTGTTTAGTAGTGATTTATGGTTTTCGAAGATATTAGTTGAGTTTTACCAGGCATACAAAAAAACCTTCCTTTCTGTTGTGGTATTGTAAATAATGTGTTTCTTTTGATATGTCTACAGCCAAAAAAATATAGCTATCCCCTAAAATCTCCTGGTGTTCGTCCATCAAACCCAAGACCAGGTACCATGAGACATCCTACACCTCTGCAGCAGGAGCCAAGGAAAATTAGTTATAGTAGAATCCCTGAAAGTGAAACAGAAAGTACAGCATCTGCACCAAATTCTCCAAGAACACCGTTAACACCTCCTCCTGCTTCTGGTGCTTCTAGTACCACAGATGTTTGCAGCGTTTTTGATTCCGACCATTCGAGCCCTTTTCACTCAAGTAGGTGCTAAAATTTTAAGTGCTTTAAAGTAATTGTTAGTATGATATGTGCTAGAGGTAAAAAAATATATATATAACTTTTTTATTTTTTGTAAATTTGTAGACAAATACCATTTCAAAATATTATTATAAAAATATAAAGCAAATTCTAAACTCCAGCAACTTACAATTTTTTAAAAACATGTTAGAATAGCCCTCTTTAAATTTGTTATACTTTACCAGAAGGCCTAGTGATAAAATTGGTAATTTAAACTTGATTTGAGCATTTGTTTTCAATTGGTGAATTCAAAACGCCTTCCTTGTATCTAGAGGAAACAAAGATAACTCCTAAAATCTGCAAGGATTGTCAATCCACTGCTTTAAATGCTGCCTCCAAAATTATTATATTTGAATACCACTCAGTACATCATTCCCTTTTCACCAAACTCTATAGGTTTCAATTTTTGCAGCAGGTATCAAATTTAATCTCCTATTTAACCCTTTCTCAGTCTACACCATCTGGCAGATGCTGTATAGCACCCGCTAATACACTGCCTGTGCTTTCAAGCCCAGCTGTACAGATCTCACAGACTGCATACTACTGCTCATTCCTTTCTGATTTCTAGATCAGTGCTGTCTAGTAGAAATATAATGTGAGCCATGTAGGTATGTTAAATGTTCTATAGCCACACTTACGAAAGCAAAAAGAATTAGGTGAAATTGATTTTAATGTATTTTATTTAACTCAGTGTGTGTAAAATATTATCATTGCAACATGAATTCAAGATAAAAATTTATTGAGCTATTTTACATTCTCTTTTTGTTCTAAATTGTCAAAATCCAGTATGCATTTTACACTTAGAGCACACCTCAACTCAGACTAGCCACATTCACTTGCTTAATCCACATGTGCCTAGTGGCTTCCAAACAGTAGAGCTCAGCTCTAGCCCTTTGAAGAGGCTACCTTTTATATGTAGGTCACCTTGCTTCCTCTAATTTTCTAATTAGAAATTAGAATTTCTAATTCCATGTGGAGCTTTAAAGCTCTAAGAATGCATGAGCTCTTCCCATTGGCTATCTCAGATCCATGTACAGACCAATTCCTAGTATCAGACAGAATAGAATCCAGTCCTGAGAAGACAGCATGTCGTTATTATGGGGGAGGAGGTCAAGGAGCCAGGTGACCTAGGAGTTAGGAATCTGGTTGAGGATCTCAGTCTGCTAGTGAGCTTCTCTGATTTTTAGATAAAAGACATTTTCTGTGCCTTCTGGAAATCCAGCTAGATTTTTGAGGTTTCTTCCAACTCAGAGAACCTAACTTTTTAAATAAAAACTGACTTAAAATTATTCTTCAGAGGTGTATTATTTTGAGATTTGGCCCAGAACCCTATCTATTTATTCATGTGTTGTACATACATTTGTAGTTGCCCAGTAGTATCTCTTTTTACCACCTAAGGTGTGTTTGTTTTGAGAATTACTATATCTTGGCTTCATTTGGCTACTGGGGATTTTGGAGTTCCGTTATAAACGTACTAAAGCTATCAGATATCTTTGTAAGTTCAAATAAACATCAGGTAAAAAAAGAAAAAAATCCCACTTATATTCCCCAATTCATAAACCCTCTAAAATTAAGTAATAAAACCAGCACTTTTTATTATATACCCAACCCCAAATCATAATTTATTCTGACCTATTTAATTCTTTGCAGGGTTTTTTTTTTTTCTTAGAGCAGATAGGTGTGGTCTATATTTTGAAGATTCCCACATAAATAAATGATTGAAATCACATGAAAGCTATCAATTGCAAATTCTGCTTCTCTTAGTTTAAAAAGTAGCTAAAAATGGAAGAGGAGGGAAAAACAGGAGATAAGCACATTAACATTCCCTACTGGTGCTAGATCTTTAAAGCAGTTAAGTCATAGAGGGAAGAAGGAATCATTTTGGAATGCAGTGCTCTGTCCTACACAGCAGTGGAACAGTATTCAGCAGCTGGACAGGTGGAGGAACCACTGGTCCAGAAGTTAGGCTTTGTAAGCTGAGCTTGAAGGGTTTGCTCAATTTCGCTTTCTTTGTGATAAAACTCCTTTTATGATTCTCTTTCCTCTGAGTAAAAACTGAAAATAACTATTTTGAAATTAGAGAAGCCAGCATAATATAAAATCATTTGTGTGCTCAGTCCCTTACTTAAAACTTACCTGTGGGCCTCTGTGTAGTGAAGGTTCTCATGTGCTCATGACCCCAATTCTGCTTAACAGACCCACTAGTACTGTGGGGGTCACTGGAGCTCCCAGCTTGCCAAAAATGTTTCCACCACAGAGAGAATTCCTACGTCCTCAGGGCCTGTCAGGAAAGAGCTGCTGTGCCTACATTCTTAGCTCATTTGAACATATTCCACTTGATACATAGCAGCAAAAGTATCATTGCCTAAGTTTTTCAAAAGCCAAAGCTTGACTAGAATTTTTGATCAGTTATAGTAGTGCTTTTTTGCTTCTAGTTTTGTCTTTCAAAATAGTTTATTTTAAAACCATAGCTAATTAATCGGCCAGTATCTGCTGCATGTCTCACTCCTTCCCAAGCACTTACACATCACATCTCTTCTGGTAAAGCTCATAATCTTACTGAGAAAGGAAAAATAATCATAGTACAAAGCAAATCATAGTTAAATGCTTTAACCATTGTTAAATGCTATGATTCTCTTTGTACTATATTTATTTTTCAATCTCAGTAAGATTGCAAGCTTTACCAGAGAAGATACCTAAGGGCTCAGCAAAATGCTAAATGAGTGGTGAAGACACAGTGCTGTGGAAGTTTACACAAAGATGATCACAGAAGGGGCAAGAGTGGTCACGGAAAGCTTTGTGGTGAGGACAGAGAGGTAAGGAAACTGGCCACCCACCTAGTCAGCTTCCTACACTCCCACTCAAAGCCCTGCTCCACATCTTGGCCTGGTCAGCTCCACCTTTGAGGTGGTCATGACAGTCTCCATAACCAAAGGAGAGGTCACCCAGCTTGCTGCTTTGTTTCTGCTGCCATCCCAAGGTGGAGAGGAGGAGGAAAGTGTTCTAGGTGCCTTCCTGTCTGAAGATTGCCTGATCATAGAAGGCAGCCAGAGGTCCCACCGGTCTGTCTACTGCTGATGAACTTCAGCTCTAGGACTCAGGAGAAGAAACTGACCAGAAAAGATGTATTTCAAGCATTTCAAGCTGGAATGCAAGGCTTTTCTTCATAGAAGATTGTTGTAGGTCTCTGCCCCCCACCCCCCATGAATAAATAGATAAAAAATAAAAATCTTTAAAAAAAATAAAAGTTTTCAGGGGGATTATAATGTGTAGCCAAGATTGAGAACCACTGATCTTTTGTCTGGGATTTGTACTTAACAAATTTAATACTACCTTTTTAATTAATTGGGTTTCACTATTAAGTCATTATCCATGAATTTGTTCGGTTCCTAGCTAGTATAGAATTTCTAGTATGTATTTTTTGATTAGGGCACGAATAATTCTAAGAGGGTTTTTTTTTAGCATTTTACAGACAGTAAGACCAAGAAATTCATTTAAAATGACAAATCAGGGGCATCTGGGTGGCTCAGTGGTTGAGTCTGCCTTTGGCTCAGGGAAGCCAAAATAATCCTGGGGTCCTGGGATCGAGTCCCACATCTCCCTACAGGGAGCCTGCTTCTCCCTCTGCCTGTGTCTCTGCCTCTGTGTCTCTCATGAATAAATAAATAAAATCTTAAAAAATAAAATGACAAATCAGAAAAGTGCCCTTACTTTACCACACACATAAGCCTGCACCATCCATATATATAAATATGATCCAAGTCAAGTCTGTGTATATACATTGGGTACACATAGGTATAATTATTCTTCGTAAAAGCCTGCAGTTTATAGCTATCAGAAGCTTTGTTTTTATTTTATTCTCATATTGTACTAAGTGTACTACCATGTTCTTGAGGCTTATCTCCAGGAGGCATATTTATTTCTTTTCTAAGAAAAGTGGAAAAAACATGAGTAGGGAAACACTAGAGGTAAATACTCCTTTACCCCTGTCCCATCATAGGTGCCTAATAAATAGTGGAGTGAATCACTGACAGAAAGAACAACAGCTTCATTTAATATCAAAATACAAAAATTAATTTTTATCTTCTGAGAGATAACTTACTAGAATTAATGGATTGCTACCCTTGGTAACAACCATGGCCTCTAAATAAATTATCAGTCCATAAGGAAAGGAAATTAATGGGATAGATTGTTGGAAATTGGGGCTATGTGGGAAATATACCCACCATACCTATATAAATAGCAGTCACATTAATAGTCTTGCCAACTGAACCTGAAACATAAAATTATCCTTGTTCTGACCAAAGCAGCTAGAAAAAACAATGGTCCAAATTATTTGAGTGATTGTTGTACAAAGAGAGGGAGAGAGGAACCTGAACTTTTAAAAAAATCAGCTGAGATTAGTGTTACAGGAATTATTCTAGTCTCTTGGATATTAATGCTTTAATATGTTGGTAATAGGAGGCAATGTCACATAAACAACTATGTAGATTTAGAGCCAGTACAGATCACTTAGCCTCTTGTCTCAGTTTTTCTACTTTAATGCTCTTGGGGCTTTAGCTTTTATGGTTTTCATTTTTTTTTCCTAGAAGAATTAATACTGTTGAAATTAAACATCCTAAATTTGTCAGTGAGTTTCCTGTATAAAATGTGTCTAAGCGCCAAATATATATGAAGTGTTCAAGAATACAGAAGGAAAAGGCTATATCCCTTTCAAGCTTGTTTTACAATATCCAAAGCTATAATTATTTTGCAATAAGAATATATGCTCCAAGAATATTTTCAAAAGTATATAATATTAGTAAGGAATTCCCCTTTATTTTTCAATTTATATAACATAAATTCATTATTTATTACTTAACTTCACACATTTGAGTTTTCAAAAAATCTCTAGTAAATGATCTGCTTCTATAATGTCCAGCTGAATTCTTTGCTTGAATTGGGTTTATACATTTTTTAAAAGTCTTCCACTAATAGAAGATATTTTAGTTTTCTCATGAATGCTTTTCATTTAAATATTATGACATCAAGTAGAATCTAAAAGGAATCTTCAAAATTCCCAATATGATATTAGCTCAACATAATTCTTTATTTTTCTCAAAAGTAAGAAGTAGTGAGCTTTTACTAAAGACTGCTGTACCATTCTTTACAACTAGAATAACAAAAATTATATTTTTATCAGAAATGCATTTTTACAGATGAGTTGAATTTATCAATGAAAGAAAAAAATCTACTCTTTCTTGTTTCCTTTCACAGGCAGCGATACCGTCTTTATCCAAGTTTCACTGCCCCATGGCCCAAGTTAGTATATTTGGTTTAAGACTCATAATTCTTGCTTTGGCTTTAAAAGTTAAACCAAGTGTAACCTTCCCTGCTAAAACTCTTCTTGGGTCTGGCGGCATTGGTACATTGCTTGCAATATCATAGAAGCAAGGGCTTCACTCGTGCTATCTTTTGATCCTAAATGATTTGCTTCAACTTATATACTTTTCATGCTTTTTGTAAAACCCATTTTCTCTTTTGAAAAGAACATTATTATATGGGTGACTTCCACATTTAACCATTTCTCTTTTCCAACTATAGAGTTCTAAATATATTTTAATGCTCAACTTAAAAAAAAAAAAGCAAGAGCATGCATGCGCAGATGGGAATGCTGGCAGCTATGTGCAGTGTCTAAATCACAAAATACACTTAGCCTGGCAACAGCACAGACTGTAGGCAAATGACTACTACTACTTGACTTTAGAAGAACTATCTTATAACTGTAACTTAAATTATATGGCCTAAATATTCATCACTGTTAAGCAAAATAAAGTTATACTGTAGATATTTGCTTTTTTATTTTTAAAGTCAACTAACAATTCATCAAATGATTCCATAAGTTTTAAGCTAATAGATTAGTGGGTTATGCTGCCCTTCATACAAATGATTTCAAAATGTATACAATGGAAAACATTAGTTGTAAGCTAAATTAACTTCCTACATAGTCTCCTAAGAAGAAAGGTAGGTGACCAAAATGTTGCTCATTTGAATAATATCAGTACACAAAGCACTCTTCTAAGTTCTATATTGTTATAACTTTTAATCGACAAAATAAAAGCTATTGGCACTTAAAGGAAAACAAGAACCTCCCAAGTATAATTCTGATCATTTATGTATTTTCATCTCTTTTTTTATACTTTGCATAAACTAACAACTTACATAAATGTTGTCTCTCAAAATGTAATGACTTTATGCCTATATTACGCCCGTGTCATCATTAATGTCTATAGGATAAGTTCTAATAAGAAGCTTTACTTACCTTTTTTGTGACAGTTCATCAACTCACTCTTAAATCAGGTTCACTAGATTCTAGTGTAATTTCTGTTTTTATCAGGGCTGCCTCAGTCATCTTAAATAGCTCTATCACAATTAAAATTTTTGGATTAGAGTATGATTAACCTGATTTTGCTCACTCACCAAGGAGAGCCAGCCCATTCCTAGACAAAGTGAGGAGACCCTTCCTCTAGACATGAGATTCTCTCCCTGGCACCCTTTGAGAAAACTGCTCAGGAGAGCAGTTAAGATCAAAAACTAATCCCAAGGACTATCCAGTAAAGACAAGGAAATTCTATACTAATAAAGTCAGAGAAAGAAAGTGAGCCCATAACAAAAAACCTAATAAAATTACCATTCCAAAAGTTTTTAGTAGTTTGCTGTTTCTCCCAGATTCTGAGAATCATATTGAAATAAAAAATTCCAGTAAAAAATTAACAGTGGGAATGTTATTTTGTTCAAGAAGCAAAATAACAGAATATCTTAGGCAGTTTTGTTTGTTTTTTTCTGAAAATTCTGCTAGGAAATTTCTGCATGCTTTTAGAGCAATTTGCTTTAGTAAAGGAAATCCTATTATGTACTGGTTTATTGAACTGCTTTTGATAATTCTGTACATTTCTTTTAATAAATATAAGCAGTTTCCAGCTAAGCCTTTACAGGATTAAGAGATGAAATAGAATACCTGTCAACTTTTTTAAAAATGTAACACCCTACAGGATCTGCTTCAGTATCATCTATAAGTTTAACCAAGGGCACTGATGAAGTACCTGTCCCCCCTCCTGTTCCTCCACGAAGAAGGCCGGAATCTGCCCCCGCCGAATCTTCGCCGTCTAAGGTACGTAGAGTCCTGTCACCTGGACACTGGAGTCATTATGGTTACAGTAGAATCATGTTCCCACCAGGTTAGGCTGAAACTTCAGGGTAGCTGAGCTTAATAGAGTGTAGACGAGAACTAAATACAATTTACCCTGGAGTTATGTTTATTTATTTTCTTCTAAACATAGTTTTTTGGTATGTTTTAAGAACCCTTATAAATCTAAATTATGGGTACTGTCAAGGAAAAAAACAAGCTTAATCTATAAAGAGTAATGTAGTCTCAAGCAGAGACTATGCAGAGAAAGAGAAAGAAGCAAAGAGGTGTGAAGCTTTATATGAAAGCACATTTAAAGTGAATCTTAAACATTACCTATCTGAGCCCTTAACAGATCTGACATGCTTTTAAATGGGATTTGCCTGATGATTCTGGGTTGGAAGAGACCTTAACAGCTTATAATAGCCTTTTTTTCCCCAGTTGTTTAAGCTTCTTTCTTTGCCAACTCTTAACTTGATTCAGGGGTTCTCAAGTGTCCAGAGAACAGAGCACCTGAACAAGTCAAGACACTCTTTGCAGAACATCAAAAAATGTTAATGTAGTAAGTTTTAAATTATAAGATTAACTTATGTTAAATTGTAAATGATTTTATACTAGACTGATAGGTAAGCAGTAGCAAGCGACAAAATGTTGAGAAAAATAAAAACTTAGAAAAAAAAATCTTAACAAATTGGTATTAAACCCTCATTTAAAACATATGGCAAAACCCCTGAACCACACCCAGGGCTCTACCAGTTGTGTTTTTGAAAACCCCAACTTAATTCATAATATGTTTGTGGTACTACATCAATTATTAATAAATTTGTGTTTTATTCTTTTTCTCATTTGTGTCAGATTATGTCTAAGCATTTGGACAGCCCCCCAGCAATTCCTCCTAGGCAGCCCACATCAAAAGCCTATTCACCGCGATATTCAATATCAGACCGGACCTCTATATCAGACCCTCCTGAGAGCCCTCCCTTATTACCACCACGAGAACCTGTGAGGACACCTGATGTTTTCTCCAGCTCACCACTACATCTCCAGCCTCCCCCTCTGGGCAAAAAAAGTGATCATGGCAATGCCTTCTTCCCAAACAGCCCTTCCCCTTTTACACCACCTCCTCCTCAAACACCTTCTCCCCATGGCACGAGAAGGCATCTGCCATCACCACCATTGACACAAGAAGCGGACCTTCCTTCAGTCACTGGGCCGCCTGTTCCTCCACGACAAAGCACTTCCCAACATATCCCTAAACTCCCTCCGAAAACTTATAAAAGGGAGCACACACACCCATCTGTGCACAGAGATGGACCACCCCTGTTGGAGAATGCCCATTCTTCCTGAGTTTCTCTGTTCTGGGATGGACGTTTCCTAGCCCCAGCTCCATGGCTGGCAATAGAGGGCACTGAATGTGCCAGCACTGAGGAGTTAAAATGACAACTCCAAACACTAACGCCTCTCCTTCGGGATGCAGTATGAGACAATGAACTTGAACCTAGACGTAATTAGAACATGAAAATGGTATTCGTTCAGAATATGGAAAGACTGATGTAGAGGAATTGGACAACTGATTTCACCTGAAAATCAAGTGAAGGGACTGTTTCTAGCCGATAGGCAGGAGTCCTCTTTTTGTGAAGTGATCTTTATCATTAAAGGGATGGAAAACACAGTCTAGTGTCCAGCAGGCCCACATGATGACAGTTTTTGTAATTCAAAATATGCACTTTTTAAAAAGAAATCTTAAACAGGGATCTTCATATCTCCTTTGTTTTCCTTTGCTTTTACTCATCCTACTTTAGAATATTTTCTTAAAAATCATTCAAAGGACTGTGAGGAGTGGCTGTGCTACCTGACCTTGTTGGCGTCAAGGCCCAGCACTGTGCCACAGTCCTGTTTACAGATTATTACAGTGAAGTGAATGGGTACCAAGGCTTCACCAAAGAGGTACTTTGTCTTCCTTCCTTCCTTCCTTCCTTCCTTCCTTCCTTCCTTCCTTCCTTCCTTCCTTCCTTCCTTCCCTCCTTCCTTCCTTCCTTCCTTTCTTTTCTTTTTTTCTTTTCTTTCTTTCCTTCCTTTCTTTCCTTCTCTTTTCTTTCTTTCTTTCTTTCCTTCCTTTCTTTCCTTTTCTTTTTCTTCTTTCTTTTCTTTCCTTTCTTTCTCTTTCTTTCTCTCTTCCTCTCTCTCTCTTTTTTTAGGAGTAATTATACTAATTTTAAGAGCATTCCCCCACCCTCCCTACACAAACAAAACATGGTGGTGTTGCCTTCAAACCAGATAAGTTTTGTGTCATTAACATGACAGAAGAACTTTTTTTAAAATGTAACTGTCATGTATACGATTTACATTTAGGAGACTGTTAATCTATGCTAGATTGTTATTTTCCCCCCTTCTCCCACAAAAGTTTACTGGTAATCCATGTCATGGCTCATAGCTGTCCCTCTAACCATACTCTGGAAATGTAGTCACCCAGTGTGAAAAGAACCACTTGCTGGGCATCACTGACACCATTCATGTTTTACTGATAGTTGAGTAATCAGCATATCTAGAATTACCTTGCATTGCTGAAATCATGTGTATATAGTGAATGTTATATAATAAACCTGGCAGGTCTGTTTTAATTTAATTGAATAAAGATACAAATACTTTGTTTGACTGGCATATATTAAATTATTATATGGAGAAAATGGTTGATTCTTATTTCTTTCAGTTGAAACACACACACACACATCACATGCAAACACTAAGCATAAAAGCACGTATTGCGGTACGCCGTGGTTTCTAGTTCTGGATGTATGTATTTCATCTTAAAGAATGATCTAAAGTTACAGTTTGGCATGTAGGAAAAAATTTGGTTAGAATAGAATGGGTATCTTTTAAGCAGAACTTTGTTTTTTAATTTCCTAGGCAACATGTATACAGATTGTTATATTAAACATTCTACCTTGCTTGAGGTCTGCTCTATTCATAATAGAACATCTACCTACATCGTTAGTATCATATTATGGATTATTCATTAAGCATATGTACTAATCTGAGTCTAACCAATACTGTGACTGAAATGCATGCAATTTGTCGAAGAGAAAACGTTTTATTAATCTCTACTACAATGTCTGTGAATTGTGCAGTGTTCCATCATTAGAGAGTCATCAGTGTCTGCATGTGTCTTCAGAATAATGAAGCAACATCTCAGCAATTCTGTTAACCATGCCATTAGAGACATTTTTAGAAGTGCTGCATCATGGTGGAAACCTAATACTTTAATAATTTCCTGTGATCTTTATTAGAGCATTAAATGTACTTCACCAGTATTACAGTATATAGTCCTTTAAGACTAGAATGTTGATTGCATCATCATTAAACAATCCATCCTATCATATCCTTTCTTATTTGTTAGAGTTGAATCTTTTTTTGTTTAATATTTGTACCATTCCTATTATGGCAGCCATTTTCCTATCTGTAAAATGTCTCCTTTTAAGTCTCCTCCAAAATTAATTTCAAATCTACTCGTGTACACAAAGTGTTCATAAGACCATTCATTCAACAAGTGTTTATCTACGCCTACTTACTAGAGCTGCTACAATTAATCCTAGTGCACATTCCAGAATCCCTCATGACTTTTTATTAGACCAGCCTCATTTTCCCTATGATTTCCCTTTCTATGCTTATTGATCACTTCTCTTGGATTATCCCACCTCATTTCAAATGCGAGCCTGAGAAGTCACATGGGAGCCCATTCACAATCTCCCTGGCCAGTGCGTCAGCCTTCAGCAAGGCTTTTCAACCCGCCTGATAGAGGAAAAGCTCAGATTTGGTTTCTAGTCATAATTCTCCCGAAGGGAACCATTTTTCTACTCCCAGTGGTTCTAGGAAACCACTTCACTGTGCATCAGCATTGTGGATAGAGGATATTTTTATTCTAAAGTTGACATTTGGGTAAAAATATTTTCTGCAGTGGTAACGGATTAGAAACCTTTCCATTGGAGGCCCTTAAAGAGAGGTGAGAAAACTATCCTTGCCTTCTTCATATGTGAAACATTAGCCGACAAATTTATTCTTTGTAGTAACTAAAATACACATTCAGGGACAAGAAGTGGCTAAGAAGAGAAATGCATCACCACTCAATTCTGCTTTTGAATCCAGGACATTACAAGATAGGGCAGCATGACTATTTCTAAACCACAATCCAAAACACGGGACATTTCTTTTAGAAATGGAGATGTCCTTAGAAGTTTCATTATCTTTGGAGCACGAAAATATTTCAAGGTTGAATTAAGTGGGCTGATTATAACAACAGAAAGGGAGAATTTTCACATCTAAGCACTTTTTAAAACAGGAACAGATAAGTAATATGTTTCTAAGTTTATTGAAAGACAGATAATTGACTGTTCCCAGCCCTCCTAATGTATCTCAAAAGTACAAATTATCAGGAAATACACAAACATTAAAAGTTTGCTTAATTAAAGGCTGTTGGGTTTCACATTACATGTTTAGTAGGTTACTATGCTCTAACAGCTCAAGAATGTTTTAATGGATCTGAATTTAGGAAAAAGCATGCCACACTAATGATACTACAATCAACACAACAGTCTAGTGAACAAGTATTGTTTCACTTGAGGGTATATTATGGTTTTGAATTCTTCCTTAATGGGTTTTTTTTTTTCATAAATTAAAAGTTACACAAACTAAAACTTAGTTGGTATCTACGACCATGATCTTAAATCTTAAGTTTAGCTTACTTTAGTCATGTATTTCATCCTTTTAATGATAGCTTAAATTCAGTTTTAAGTGGCTCAGCAAAACAAATCATGGAAATGGAGGAGGGAGAGGTTCCCAATTTGTTAGTGTTGTATATATTGAGGAAAACCTTTTGTTTCCTCCAGATTTAGAAAGAAACTTAACCATTTATTTCTTGGTATTCTACTGCTATTGTTAGATTCACTTATTCTTTTAACTTACACTGTATGACCATTGTACAAGTGTAGGTCCTGTTGCACATTCATCTTTACCAGTAAAAGCAACAAGGTGAATATCTGTTTGGCTGAAAGAATTATGCAGAATTATTTATAAGGGAAAATGATGACTTAAGTTTATTTATTCAATATTTTTCTTTTGAAACATCTCATTACTAAAAATCATTTCATGATCCCTAATACATGAGCCAATGAAATATTTTGAGCTCTAGTTAAGAAGCATAAAGTCTATATGTTAAATCTAAACACAAGCACTTGTAACTTATTTTGTAAATTTCATGCCTTATTTTCCATTTTTGACACCGTAAAGTGCATTTTCTGTCAACTGTGAGCAAATTCCCCTTTTGCCTTTAATGAAAATAGTGCATTAAGTAGCCAACTGCTGCAAAATTATAAATCAACTTAGCTGAAGGTGGATCACATTAGACTATCATTCAAAGAAACAAGATGCATAGGATGGAAGTCACGTGGTATGGCTTTAGGGAGAGTGCACCTGTGCCAGATGCATGCCATTTTCAGTAGCTGCCAAATGTGCCTTTAATTAAGAACATCTCTAATTTTTTTCTTCAGATCAAGTCAGCATTTGGGGGTGGGATCAGGGCAGGGGACCTTGGGGTGCAAATATCTGGTGAAACTCACCAGAGAAGAAGCCTTTGTCAAAGTGACATGTATAATTTTAGTAGAAACGTGTTTGTGTGTATATGTGTGTGTGTGTGTGTGTGTGTATTTGCCTTTGTTTAGTAGCACGGTATTTGCTAAAATAATCGTCCAAAAAATTGCTCTGTCAGTCTTACTCTGATGTAAAAAAAACAAAGTGCAGTCTATACATCTAATATGGCCTTTGTACCTAACCACATTCGTAGGTAATCTTTGTACTCTGTGTGCAGCAGTATTCGGTTTGCATTTAAAGTGAAAATAATGGCTGTTATTTTTCTGGCATTACTAAGATAAACCGAAAAATAATAAAGAAAAATGCCTTACATAGTCCACAAGTGTATTCTTTTTGTATGTATTTATTTTAGAAAGCACTCCTTTCAGCATCAGTCACCATTATTTTAGCTTGTGCTCTCCATAGAGAAAATAGTTTGTTCTTTATCATAGTCTTGCTTTGGATGTACTTTTTCCTGTATCATCATACAGAGAAAATTCAGGATTTCCTCCTGTATCAAGCCCCTCTGACTATAGTGAGTGGGAGACCCTTGGGATGAAAATCAGTACCTTAGTGACCTTGGATGTCACCTGGATGAAGTTTCAAAGGGCTGAGGGAGGCACTTGTATTCCATAAAAGTTTTCAGATATCACAGTTCCTGGACAGACAAGTCTTATCAAGACCTGTAGGAATGTGGCAGCCTGACGTTTAGCAATTCTTTCTAGGCTTAACATAAAAAGAAAACAGTTTATGGTTATAGTCTGTAAAGAATTTTTTAAGTGTAAGGTCATTCATGATGAACTACAGAATGTAAAAATGTGTGAAGCCCAATGCCTTTTACAGAATAGAGTGCTTAATAAAGGTAACTAAAGTTATGAGGGATATGTTTTCAAAGTTTGCCTGCTTGTAGGTATCTTTTTTTAAGAGGTTGCTATTTCATTCTGAAGTTCCCATAACTTCTTGATTCTTTACTATCCAGCTTCCTTTGATGTTACTATCATTTCAATTGCTTTTAAATTACCGCATTATAAGCATTTCATAGGGCCCATCTGACTATTCAACAAATATTTACTGTTCCAGGTATACTTCTGATGTTAGGAATACAGCAATGAACAAAACAAAAATCTGTACCATCATAAGATTCATAATCTAGTGAGATGTAGACAATAAGAAATAACATACATAAGAATGTTGTAACTGCTATGAACAACAACAAAAAAAGACAAGGTGACTAGGAATGTAGGGGATGGGGTAGAATATATTAAATGAGATGATCAGAGTCAGCTCAGAGAGAAGATTGCATGTGAGAAAAGACTTGAAAGAGGTGAAGGAAGGAGACATGCAAGTGTCTGAGGAAGAGAATATGCCCAGTCACAGGGAAAGGCCAGTTCAGAAGCCCAGCAGCAGGAGCATACGTGGAACATCTGAAGAATAGCGAGGCTACTTGTGCCTGGAGAGGAATGAATGTAGGCAGAATAGGAGATGCCATCAGAGGTTTAACAGGGGCCAGATCACTTTTAATGACTTTGGCTTCTCTTAGAAAAGGAGCTCATAGAGCGTTTGAGCAGAGGTTCACTCTGGCTGACCATGTTGAGAACAATCAAGGGTCAGGAGTGGGAGTGGGAAGGCTAGCTTGGTCAAGGTGAGAGCAGTGCAGGTGGTGACAAGTGGTCAGAGATGGCCAAGTTGCTGAGAGGCTGAACATGGGGTTAAGAAACAGAATTGTCAGGGTGCCTGGGTGGCTCAGTTGGTTAAGCATCTGACTTCGGCTCAGGTCATGATCTCAGGGTCCTTAGAACAAGCCCTGCAACAGGCTCCGTGCTCAGCAGGGAGTCTGCTTGTCCCTCTGCCCCTTCCCAGTCCTTGTGCACGCATTCTCTCTCTCTCAAACAAATAAATAAATAAATCTTTTTTTAAAAAAAGAAATTTAAAAAAAAAAGAAACAGAATTGTCAAGGATGACTTCAAGGTTTTTGGTCTGAGCAACTAAAGGACAAAGTTACCATTAACTGAGGTGGGAAGGTAGTGATGAAGCAGGCTCAGACACATTAAGTTCAATAAATATAACTATGTCAGACCTCTGATAGGTGTCTGGGCTGAGGCTACAAATTTGGGAGTCACTTTCATAAAGATCATATTTTAAAGCTAGCAGACTGGATATGATCACCAAAGAAGGTAAGTACAAAATGGAAAAAGAAGAGATCTAAGTAAAGGAGAGCCCCCAGGCCACTCTGATAAGAGAGGGAGGAGAAAGCAGAACCAGCAAATTGACTAAGAAGGAATTGCCAATAAAGAAAGATGTAACCCAAGAGTATGTTGTGCCCTTGAAGACTAGTAAATTAGTAGTAGTAGTAGTAGTAGTAGTAGTAGTAGTAGTAGTATTTCAGAAGGAAGAGGTGACAAGCATGTCAAATACTATTTGATAGAGAGAGTGGACTATTCATTTAGCAAGTGAAAGTCAGTGATAAACGGGACACAGCCAGTTGAGGGGAGTGGTACAAGTGAGTCTAATAAACAATGGGAGGAGAGAACTGGAGCAAGTTTCCTCACTCAAGTTTTACTAGAAAGGTAAGCAGAGATATAAGGCATAGCTACAACAGTCAAGATATCTTTTGCTTTAAAAATGGAAGAAATAAGAGCATGCTTGTATGTTAAAGCATTTGCCCCACCTGGAAAATGTGATAATAAGGAGAGGGGATGTGGCCTAGGGCTGAATGGAAACAACCCACTTAGAAACACAGATGGTATCCAACAAC